CACTCTCGAAAGCTTGTCTTGTATATATTTTGTTAGTCCAATAAGAAAGGTATCATTGCACACTGCAATACTGCGTTTTTGTCTTTTTTGACATCTTATTGTCGATGATATTTCATCGGAAGCGTTTTTGTTCACCCTATCTGTTTAATGAGTGCAAAAAATACCTGTTGAACCTGATAGAAATCCAGTGAGCTCATAACATGGTGTGCTCTCTTCCTGTGCTGTACTCTTATCAGTTACATTGTTACCAGTTCTCTCTGAGAACTACAGAACCCACCCCCCCAACGTTATAGGGAGGAGAAGAGCGGCAGGGGGTAGTAGGTGTGAAGTCACATGCTAGGGTTAGCATGCTGATGCTCAATCAATACAGTGCAGTGAGGGAGCGTTGTTACCTTAGGACTGGAAGTGTGTTACTCAGGAACGTGCAGTGAAGTTCCTGGCAGGTGAGGCCTGCTCCACCCCTGCCCTGCCACAGACCCGGTCACCGAGCTATGTGTGTAGGAGGGAGGAGGAAGATAGGAGAGAGGGAGGTGCCTTCCTGTCCCTTTTTTGCTTGTCACTGATGCATCTAGATGGATGCTGTCTGAATTTTATTTTTGAGTGGACAGCTTGGACCAATGGCACATTGCCATTGGTGCAAACCATCCACGGAGCTCAAGCCACTGACTCCAAGTCAGAGGCTGCTGTAGCTCTGAACTCACTGTGTTAGGATAACACAAAGCACTTTAGAGATGTACATGAGGGCAGCATGTCCTCATTTGAGTTCCATGGCAAAGAAATAATTGTAAAACATGACGGAGGTGGCAGTCCGCATCGTAAATTGTTGGAGAGGGAAACATGGTGGATTTTTTAATTAAACACCCGGATCCGCCAAGGTCTCAATCGCGGCTAGCATGTGAATCTGTATTTGAAATCATTTTTCCCTGATTTGACATTACTTTTATTGTTTTGTAGATTTCTGCGTTGGCATGCGGTATATCTGTTCTGTTTTTACTGCAGGGATATACGTGTCTATAGTTATGTCCATATGTGATGACTTGCGTTGTGTTGACATCCTGAATGTTTTACCTGTGTCACCTGTACCTGTGATTTTATTGTTATGATTAAGGTCCCTTGTTGGACTGAAACATGTCAGAAGTCTTTGCAGTTGCTTGACTGATGGATTCGTCGATTTTGTCCCTCTGTTAAAACCCCAATAAACACACAGACTGCGCAACATGGATTTCAATGGCCACAGCAGCCCTTTTATTAAACAAACCAACTTTAACAATAAACAAAGTAATAAACAAAATAATATACAAATAAATAGACTGTATGATCTGAGAAGGGGCCTTTGGGTGCCCAAAAGCCCAAATAAGGCCTCTCCTAAAAACTCCTCCCGTGAACCCAGCAGCACCACGAACAGCTCAAGTACAGTTACTGCTCCCAAGTTCCAAGGGGCCAAACCCCCCCAACAGATACTGACACCAACAGGGGGAAGCACCCATTCCGGCTGATGGCCCCTCATTTTATGGGGATTTTCAGACCCCCCAAAAAAACCCCTAACCTGCCAAGCTGCCGTGACATAAAAAGAACCTTGCAGCCATCAGAAACCACAAAATGCAGGGAGAGAGGGTGGGTGGGGCAACCTGCTTCCTCCGTCGATTTTCCAGAAAGAACGCCCCTTAGCCCTTGCAGTTTCAACCCATGCGGCTCCTTCCGGACACCTGACCCCAACGTCCAATCAGGTAAGTTAATTCCCATTTTATTTTTAACTGCACCCTTCTCCCAGGACTATTCCTCCCTCCAGTCATGCAGCCCCTCCGTTCAGTCTCTCTGGGTCTGTCTTTTTTTGAGGCGCCATGAAGAGGCGCCATGAAGAGGATACCAACGAGTGTCAGCTCTTTTCCCTTTATTTTGCTGATTGGGTCCGACAAAGAGTCAAGCTGAGCACCGCGGTACCCATGGAACATTGGGGGGGGGGGGGTCTGTGAAGCAGGAGAGGTTTTTTTTCTGCACTTTATTATGGCTCTCAACAAAGTCCTGAGGGTTCTGAGTCATTTTTTCCACCAGAGCAGAAGGTCTCTTCACATGTTGGGAACATTTTCCACAGCTAATGATGAAACGGGACACAGATTTCACATTTGATTCCAAAACATGAGAAACGCTCAACCAGAGGTGCTCTCCATTCTCCACCCCTCACCGCTCATGACCTGGTCTCTAGGTGGACACCAGAATGCACCTAATCATCTCACAAAGGGCCACCCAACCTCATTGGGTTGAATTGTGGTGGTGCTGCTGATCCCAGTGCATGTTATCTCAGGCTCTGAACCCCACCTGGACATTGACATGCTCTAACTTTTATCCTTCACACCCAACAACTCAGACAACTGTCTCATGTCAAAGGCAGACACCAGTCTTCACATTCGGCAAACTTTGTGACCTTTCATAAGCTAGGGTTTGCCAGGAAGAGCTTTTCCACCAATAGCACCCAAAAGGGCCAGGTTCCTTCATGCCTCCAGGAAGCTTCAAATCATCTTGTCACGTAGGCTGGTAAAGAAGACCTGTCATCTTTTTTATACTCAAACCTAGAATAACACCTGAACTATCAGGTTGATCTTGACCTTACTGGGCTGATCATTTGTATCAGTCTAGGCTACTAATGGCACCATTTTGTTTTCACCAAAATAGCAGGTGTGTGTCCCTAAAATTCCAGTCTCCTTAGCCACAACATCTGAAGTCATCATAGAGTTATGACAAAAACAAGGATGGGTCAGCTGAAATTTGCAGGACAATATTGATTTCAGCCATAATTCAATATCAACATAAAATAATATGAACAATACAAAAATGACTCAGTTATAATTTTTAAGATTTATATATTTTTATGTGACCTTTGTACACTAGATGTGCTTTTATTTCTTGATGGTATGTCTGATTTGTAGTTTCATCTTGAAGGTTAGGGGTTGGCCAACTTACAAGGTCTCGGTAGCCTCATCTCTGGCTCTGGGCCACAGATAATCGTCTGTATATATAATTGTAGAGAGAACCATCAGGCATACTACAGAAAATATTACTCAGAGACTGAGGACGTGCTAGAGGTTTGGTTGGAGGCTGAAGATATGCTGCAGAAGACAATAAAAGACTGGAGACCTGTTACCTGAGAGATCACTGACATTATCCCTTTACAATTGCTCCCACTTCAGGCTGCTGGGGTCCAAGGGATGTACAAGTACAGCTGCATGTGGCTCTTGGCCCCCAGGTTGGTCACCAAGTATCTAGGACAATACATTATCAAATTATGAAATAAAAAATGTATTAAATTATTCAAAATTAGTCACCTTGTCATATTTTTATATAATTATTTTGATCTGGCTTATAGGCTTGCATTGAGGCATATACAATTTGGAGAATTGTGTAAAGTCTGAGGAAGAGGCAAAAGGTTCCGAAAGATTGAATCTTTAATAATGTAAGTTAGCTGATAAAAGGTATCACTTAAACGCCACACGTTCTGCATTGCCTGATGGCTAACATGGTAGAAGGTAGACAACTACTGCTAGTAAAAACATGCAAAGTTTACTCTGAAACATCTAGTAGGACAGCAGGGCACATCACCCTCTCTGTGTACTGATCCTTATATAGCTTTCCATACTTTTGCTAGATGAAGTTGACCTAGTACATGGATGCAAGTCAAAACTTACCCCCCCCCTCCTGGTGGAGGTGCAGTGTCAGATCTCCCAACCTCTGTACAGCTCCCAATGTTCTGCCATCATCACACATATCTCTTCATTAAAGTTCACAACTGTGGACCTGGTTCATAGCTCCCCCATGAAGCTCCTCTGTGTTTGCTTACAAGTCATTTACAGAAAATGGCATCTTGGTGCCCCTCTTGCTGGCAAGGACCTGCCCACATTCCAGGAATGAAGAGTGCTGGCTGCCCTGGGATGGAGGAATATTAGGGTATTCCTCTCTACTAAATCCCACTAGACTAAATGAGTATTAGATACTGAATGTGACGGACCCCGGTACTCAGGATGAGTATGTCTGCCGCTGTCATGTATGCTGATCTTTAGCTCCCAGTTTCTCCAGTCACTAGTCGAGACCGAGTGTAGGGTGAAACAAACTCTGATTTATTGAGAGACTGTGCAACCTTTTATACACAAAGTGATCAGATCAGAATATAATCCCATCACATCCACCCTACCCTCCCTAGACATGCTGTCTGCACAACCCAGCAGGGTTCCACCTGCTAAAGAGCTCCAGACAGCCATAGCATGAGCCTGGCCAGAATGTCATTATCCTGAGCTCCTTCAGAGTACAAAGGGAGCTAACGAGGGGGGGTGCTGACAGTCTTTTCATAAACAGATTACCCAGTATAACATAATCAAACACAACTCAACACCAATATACATACAGAATAACTCCTATACTGATGACCATGTCGTCATACTGAATATGTGAGAAAGGTGGGGTATATCCGTACTCACATGACACACCAGGTCCTGAGTCTTCCATCTTCTTTTTCAACGGGAAAGGGTCCTGCCTGGGTGAAGTTGACACTACCTATTGGTTGTTCTCTAAGGGGTTCAGTGGTGAATGATGCCAGGAAGAGGCAACTGGTTTTCTGCAGTTCTGGATCCACCAGACATCACTTCTAGAAGCTGTGGTGGCAAGGGACATGGACAGTGGACATAGGTGATGCTGGGGGGATGATCCAGGGGTTGTTAAGGGGTGGAGGGGATTAAGATTTGCCAGGAGATGTGCACATACTGGATTACCTACAACAAGATGTTTCCAATCATATAAGCATGTTATATATTTTATATTCCAGGGAACCTGTACAGAGAAAGTTTTTTGGGATGCCTACCTCATTCCAATTCTCTGGCTTCAATACATTAAATCTCTGACCCACAATTAGCATGCAGTCAGTGAAGTCAGAACTTCTACAATAGGGTGCCTCCATATGTCTCTCAATCAAGGTTTCTTTCAATGTACATTTAAGTTGGACAGGTATCAGACTGTCATATATTTTTATTGGCACTCTTCTGCACCAGGCTTATGATGACCTTTTTCACCTCTTGGTTCCTCAGGCTGTAGATAAGAGGATTCAGCATTGGGGTTACCACTGTGTAGAATACAGAAGACACTTTGTCTTGCTTCCCGAGGGTACTGGAGGATGGATGAAGATAAGTGAAGAAAACTGTAACATAGAAGATGGAAGCACACATGAGATGGGAGGAGCAAGTGCTAAACGCTTTCCTCCGGCCAGCCGCTGAGTTTATCCGTAAGATGGAAGAAATGATGAGGGCGTAGGAGACCAGGATGATTGTCATTGAACTAAGACTACAAAAACACACAAAGAAAAGGGTGACGATGTTGCAGGTGCGGGTTTCTGAACAGGACAACCTGACCAGTGGAGGGATGTCGCAGTAGAAATGGTCTATGAGGTTGGATTCACAGTACTCAAGACTGAACAGACTGCTGGTCTGTGCTGACGACTGTATGAAACCAACTGAGAACGAGAGGATGACAAGACCGAGACATTTCTTCTTAGTCATTATTGAGATGTAGTGAAGAGGGTGGCAGATAGCGACGTATCGGTCGTATGACATGTCCGAGAGGACAAAGACCTCAGAACTTGCAAGGGCAGCAAAAAAAAAGAACTGAAGGGCGCAACCGAGGAATGATATCAATTTCTTCTCTAAAAGAAGGTCGGACAGCATTTTAGGGGCAATGACTGAAGAGTAGAAGAGGTCCACCATGGAGAGATAGCTCAAGAAGTAGTACATCGGAGTGTGGAGGCTGGGAGAGATATGAACTATGGCCATCATCCCAATGTTTCCACATATGGTGACCATGTAAACCAGGAAAAACAATACAAAAAGGAACGGGGCAACTGCTTTATTATTAGACAGACCAGAAAACTCGAACACAGTTACTTGAGTCTTGTTGAGGATGTTCATGAGGTGTTTTTTTTTGCTCTGAAATGGTTAGAAAAATAGATTTTTCTGCAATAATCACCCTTAATCCAGCACTTTATTTCCACAATAAGACTTCTCTGTCACTAGGTGTTGCCAGCGTCATTCAACCCACTTCCTGTAAGCCAAGTCATCACCCCAGGTGGTAGGTCATCATGTGGGTAGGATGTCATCATTTGAGCACTGTTTAGGACTGTTTAGGGCCGCCTACTGCCACCACTGGAGGAGAAGAGAAAGAAACCCATGACATCATTAGCTAGACTTCAAGACTGTTGGCTTGAAGGTATGTATTCCTTTCTTTTTGTATATTCTTTCTGTATTCTTTTGTAACATATTGCAGATTACCCGTCCTTAGATGTGGTGGCTACATTTGTTTTCTTTTTTTTCGGCCTTCTTTCCTTTATTTTCACCTGGTGATTCTGCCAACATACTTCCTGTCCTAGGGAACACTTACCATTCTGTATCAATAGATGAACAGTGTTGTCACCCAAGGACAGGAAGTGTGTAAGGTTACAGAAGATAGCTGGGAAGGCTGATGACATTGTTTAGGATTTGCATATAAGAAAAATAGAGAAAAATGGGGCTTTTAAAGTGTCCAAAACCATACAAAATGTCCATCAAACATACATAGTTTTGTATAAAAAAAAATACATAGATTTTATTACATTAAAATCAACATGATTTGAAGACTTGGTTACATTCAAAATGTCATTGGTATGATACAATAGCACATTCACTTTTGAAGACTGGGCCCACAGTGGATTACTACTTCAGCGCCAAATTATAGCTCATTTGCCTACAAACGTCAGGCCACTCAGTGTATATACACACGTGTGGGTACCAAAAGGAGGTAGCTTGATTTTAGTGTACTATTGTATCATACCAGTGACATTTTGAATGTAACCAAGTCTTCAAATCATGTTGATTTTAATATAATAAAATCTATTTTTTTTAATACAAAACCACAAAACCATGTATGTTTGATGGACATTTCAAATGGTTTGGACACTTTAAAAGCCCTGTTTTTCTCTTTTTCCTATATACATTTCTACTAAGGGGTGTGGTGCCTATCCCTAATGGTTCAATTATTATATGTTTAACTATTGTTTAGGATTTCTGTTCAGGGTGCAGAAAGCTACAAGGACTCTGGATTTCTGGCAGGGTGAACAGGTATTTTTGTACTTGCACAAAGTATACACAGCCTGAGAATAAGGAAGCCGATGTAGCCACCACATCTAAGGACTGAATAACTACAATATATTACATTTAAGTTCTTGGGTTTAGATATCTTCATTTAATCAATGTTTGTATAGAATGAGATGTCATCACCATGGCTGAGAATCAAGGGGGGCATCGTCTCTATTCGGAACGATGTGAAGATGACCAACAGTATAAGTGACTCCAAATGTAGATTTGATGCTTTTGTTAGTGGAAATTGAATTTATAATTAGCGGGATTCACCATTGGAGTGAATCATTTACGGCCTGTGTTGATGGGCTTTTGTAAGCTTCAAACAGGCTTGACATTTCCATAGAAGTCTACAGGAATGCAAAACCTGGATAAAGCTGGTCAAATACAACTGAATGATGTCAGAAGCACCTCAAACTGATGCCATCAACACAAGTCCATAGTATGTCATCACAGGCCCTTAGGGGATTAACTTTATGATCTTTGGTGGGGTCCTGAAGAATTTTTTCCCTTCAAACTGCAATTAAAAAAAGAATGTATTAAACTTTGGTCTTGTTTTTCATTGCTGTTACAATGTAGTCTGTTTAGGAGTGTCTTTTGTTCTCTGCAAAATATCAATTCAAGGGAAGATATTCTGGTTTGTGCCCAATCCTTCGGGTTTCAGAACTCCCCCGTCCTGGCGTATTAATGTACAAATTCACCTAGACCCTGTTTTTAAAGCATAATGTACTAAATGGCCTCTCAACCATGGCTGGCAGGCTTGGAGGGGCCAATAAGTGGGTTTTCGGATAAGAGAGGTTAGGGTCAATTGGAAGACTGTGGGCAAGCAATCCCTTTGTTGTTTTTTTGTGTTTTTGTTCTCATTATTGGAGGATTTGGGGGCCTGCAAGGCTTCCCTTCAAAAGGTATCACACTATACTGTATATACATACAGGTTTCAAACTATATATACATACACACACATACACATACATCACAGTATTACACAGATCACACTATATTTATATATATTTTGATTTTCCTTATAGTTCCATTTTAAAGGACCAACCAATAACTCTCTCAAGAACTAGAATAATAAAGACAAAAATAAAATAATTACTGTATTATCCAAAGCCAACAAATATTTTAAGGAGCATCTTAGTCTAGGAAGATATCTTCCATAGAGCAAAATGCTACATTGTTTATTACATTAATTTGCTGCTCTTGCGAAATTCAGGATCAAAGCTGGAAAGAGGAAAGAGCTCATCTGAGAAGCTTGCAACTCTATTGTTTTTTGGCATGCTAAAATAACTAGGGAATAGTTTCAGGCACGTACTGAGGTTACCCCTGCAGGAAGCGCTAGTGGAGGTCATCAGTTCCGACTCCTAAGAATCGGTCGACTGTTTGTTTGCTACATGCTTATACACTATGGCCATCTTGTAAGTGTTTCTTTTTATCCCTTATTAAAGGAGAACTATGGGGTCAAGGCTTTTCCCCATAGTTCTCCTTAGGGTAACGGGAGGACACAAACTAGCGTCCTCCCGTCACCCTAGGCTCAGTATACCGCGAGCTACAGCTAGAGGTATACTGAGATGCTGCAGCTGAAGCGGATCCTGACAATTATGTCTGGATCCGCCCAGCTGTGTGAGTGACAGCTGGATCTGCCTATCTAGAGGCAGAGCCAGCTGTACCCGCCCCCTCCCCCATCCGTTCCACCAGTCGGCGCTGGAAGATTGGAGCGGGGAGAGGGGAATCCAGCCCCTCCCCCTGTCACGGCAGTGCGCCGTGACAGGATCGAGAAGTGAGCGAACGCCGGTATGTGTTCGCTCACCTCCCAATCTACTGAGCCGACCTGTGACAGTCTCATTGTCACAGGTCGGCTAGAACTATGAGGCGAGTGGAAATCACTCATCTCATAGTTCTCCTTTAAACTTGATGTGATGTACTTCACTATTGGAGTTCTTTCTTTTTTGGGTACGGTGATGGTCCTCTGTGGCATCTTGGAGGAAAAGCCTTTCCGTTTATCTGAGGATCGCTCATCATCTTCTTGTTTGCACTGCCCGCCATTCTGATTTATATGAATCATTGAGAGATCTGGATTTATTTGCCTAATATCTTGGAAGAATTGCTTTAAGGATCCTTTTGGACCAGATGATTTTATAAAGATTACTTATTATCCTCCTATATATAATGCTCACATTTAGTTTTTTGTTTTTTTTAGGAATTATTATCATCCTAGGTCTTATTAGTTTGATGAGGGGATTTTTTTCATTTTTTTACACGAACACTGTGTATGATATTGTCACTTTCTATATGGACATTTTTTTACCGCTATGAGTGAAAAGCACTCACCTCATAGTTCTCCTTTAACGCCCCCCCCTCGTTAACAGGTTCACTTACTTGGCATACAATCAGCCCCCAAATACCCCTAAGGAGCAGATCATCCAGGTAGATGTGTAACGGTCCCGCAAATAAGTATACTACATGTGCTATGTCTGTGTTATATTTTATTGTTTACTGTATGTTTGATTTTTTGTATTCTCTATTGAATATTGTAATGTATTCTTACTTACCTATATCATACAGAACTTTTAGTCGCTGAGAATGTTATACTTCTGCGATCAATCCTGCCTTTTATGCATATATTGTTAAAAATGCCCTCAATAAAAATTACTTGCTAAAAAAAAAAATAGTGCGGCGTATCATTATTCACCTATTATCACTTTATTAGCACTGCAGCTTGCCCACTTTAAGAATGTATTTATTGTTAGTTCTACTACTAGCGCGGTGTACCACCTTTATCCACATGCTAAAATAACACCATTATTATTTTCCTCTAACATAAATGATTTGCGCCTTCTTGCTGTCATAAAACCAGAATGGAAAATGAAGAAATATCCGCCCATCTCATGGGCTTTGCCTTGTGTGTTGTGATTGTTGTTTGTAATTATATTTGATACTTATCTATAATGAGGAATCCGGGGATTCGATCTCCTACCTGTTTGAGATTAAAATCATCTAACAAGTACAATGTACACGTCTAAATGTTTCTGTACGTGGAGCTGTTTTTATATTCTACACAATTATCAAAAGACAATTATCTTCTTCCCCAAGGACCATCATTATCATTATGGCAGAGCTAATGAAGTGTCTGTGAATGTTCATCATTATCCAGGTCATAGTATACCTGTAAAAAATAAATCAAGGCGACTAGACTTGCTATAGCAAGTCCAGTCGCCTTGATTTATATTTTACATAAAGAGCCAATAAAAGAAAAAAACAACTAATATACAATTTTCTTTACTAATTAATTTTTGTAAGCTTGAGATGTGGCAACAAGGTCACAAATATCATATAATGTAGCTATCAATGACAAATGTTAAAAATGGACAGAAGCCTCTGGCCATACTCACTTCTATGACTATCTTTGAGAAATTGCTGTATGATGAGGCTCGGGACCCAGGACTCATCTCTAAACTTTATACACTCCCTTACAGAAGGATCCCCCGTCCTATACCTGTAAGTGGGCACATGGTTTTGGCACCCCAATTAATGATGATACTTGAACTCAAATATGGCTTACGACACCTAAAAGCTCAGCTAATGTTAGAGCAGTGGAAGCTAACTCCAAACTCTTATTATATTGGGTTTTGGTCCCTCTGCATACCTCCCATGAACTTCCCCCATGTTCACCTCTTTGCTTTCGGGGTTGCCGGACGAAGGGTTCCTTCCTGCATATATGGTAGGATTTTCCTAGGGTCAGGCGCCTCTGGTGTAAGGTGCATCAGTTGCTCTGTACGGTTAATTGTTTCCGAAAAAAACCCAGTGGGGGCCTTACTGGCAATTGAACCTGAAGATTGTACACACTACACAATTTCAGTTAGTCACTTATATCCTCATGGAGGCTAAACGGGTTATCGCCCGTGCATGGCAAACTCCTACTGTTCCCTTCGAGGAGGTCAGATACAGAGTCTAACAGATTATGTTCTTTGCAAAATTTGAGAAAAGTTGGGACCCGTGGATTGCACCCTACTTACCGTCCTCTTTTTGTAGGGAATCCCTGATCATCTGACTTGTACCCCCCCCCTTTTTTTCCTATTATTACCATTCTGTCTTGGGTGCCCTACTGACCTTGTCCCAAGCAGAGTCCCTTCTCTCTTTTCTTTCTCTCAAAGATTCTTGATTCCTCTTCTTTTCCATCCCCTTTCTTCTTTTACCTTCTGCCCTCTTCTCCCGTCTATTCTCTTTACCTTCATACTTCTTTTCCTTCTTCCCTTCCTTCCCTTCTTCCCCCTATCTGCATCCTCTTATCTTTATCTCCTTCTACTTCCGCCTTCTATCTCATCTCTATCCCCCACTATTCCGGGTGGTGTTTAGAGATTCGCTGTCTATGCCCTAGTTTTGTAGGGCATCAAGGTGAGCTACTAGTATTGGTTGGCGTATTTTATGGTTTAGTTTTCTCCTTCTTGAGGATTTGGTGGATGACTTTGGTTTACTGTTTTACTGATCTTCTTTTGCTATGTTTTTGACTTATACAACGAACCACACGCTTTTACCTTACCATTGATCTTGGTTGATCGGCTTTACGTTGAAATTCTTCAATACAAATTATTGAACGAAAAATGGACAGAAGCCAAAGACATTTGAATGAATACAATTCTTCGGGGTCCCAGCAATTTAAAAGCTAAGTGCTGAAAGAGTGTGCAGCTCACATTATATCACTCATATTCACTGTATTCTTTATCCCATAATACAAACAAAAGTTAGGCATACACCAGTTAGACCCGTTCTCCCTCATTAAACTGTCCAACTGTGGCCAGCTTTACACTGCTGTATCCTCTGCAGTATCTCAAATCTTGTACAGTTTCAGATTGTCCTTTTTGTCTCCAGTAAATTTAGGCCTAGCCTTGTTCATTAAAACTGTCCCGTTGCACGATAATTTTACACTGCCATATCCTCTGTAACATCCTAAACCTTGTTGTGCAGCTTCAGCTTGTCCTTTTTTGTTTCTTGTAAATTTGGGCTTTGCCTTGTTCATTAAGACTGTCCTGTTGCTTGACCATTTTACACTGCTGTATCCTCTGCAGTATCTTAAATCTTGTTGTACAGCTTCAGCCTGTCCCTTTTATCTCAGATAAGGCCAGCCTTGTTCATTAAAACTGTCTGCTGCTAGCCAGTTTTATAATGTTGTATTATCTGTAGGGTAAGGCTCCAAGTCCTATATGAAAACACCTGCCTGTGCTGTGCATCTCTACGCTTTGGCCTAGTTTGCTAATTGAAACTGTCCTACTGCTGACAATTTTTTTTTTTAAACTGCTTTATCATCCGTGGTATCCTAATTCTTATATACACATCTGTCTGTACATATTTATATATGTCAATGCGCTGCGCAAACCGTTGGCGCTATATAAATCCTGTGTAATGATAATAAATCACATGTTTTATAGCATCTATCACATAATCTAATGTAGAAACCTGCAAAAGATAGTAGAAGACTATCCCAGCTTTCTAATAAGCAATAGCAGAGACTTGGGAACAATTAGGTGTCCTCATACATGTAGGTACCAGTCTGACAGAGGTGTGGTTGTGTGCTCATAGCCCAAAAACTGCAGAGAGGCTACCCTCAGCACAGCGTCCTTACATCTAACTGTGTCTGCACGTCCATAACATGCTGCAGCCAGGCCATACCTGGGACAAATTATCAGAGGAAATCGTTCAATAGGGACACCTGTGCCAATGGACCAATGTTTACATTTCGACCGTTGGCCTGTTTCTTCATCAATAACATTCTCATTACTTAAAGGAGAACTATGAGGTCAGTGAAAATCACTCATCCTCATAGTTCGAGCCGTCGTGTGACAATGAAACTGTCACACGTCGGCTCAATAGATCGGGAAGTGAGCGAACACATACCGTCGCTCGCTCACCTCTCGATCATCTCCCTGCAGAGCTGGCTCTGCCTCTAGATAGGTAGAGCCAGCGGTCACCAATGCAGCTGGGTGGATTCGACAGTAATGTCGGGAACCGTCCCGGCCGCGGCGTCTCAGTATACTGCAAGCTGTTGCCTGCTATATACTGAGCTTTGGGTCACTGGAGGACGCTAGTATATGTCCTCTTGTGACCCTTAAGAGTAGTATGAGGAAAAAAAAAGGATAAAAAAAAACTTACATAGTTCCCTTTTAAGATAACAAAGTAATACATAAATCAGGTTTTAGGACAAAACTATTTTATTTCTTATGCAATCCATAGACAAAAAAGTAACAAAACTAAAAAATGTTTTATTATTTGATCAGTTTGTTTAAAACGAATTAGTATTACTGTAGATACAAATTAAACCTCCAATTCTATAATTTGTCTTGTTTAAAATGACACCAAAATGATGATTCTGGTACAAAGCGTCGCAAAGATATTTAATAATGATATAAAGACTTTTTCTAATGTTACAATATTTTTTAAAACACTAACTACTTCAATTAAGTGTTTTTGGGGGCATGTGTAGCACTGCTAATGTCCTCAGCTGGGTAACATTTTGTAAAGACTATACTGTATTTACCATTTAACCATATCTCAAGTCAGTAGAGATTACACAGCATGGGTTTGGTATTTTCATATCAGAGTTTACTTTGACATCTCTGTCCTTGACCCACAATGACCTTGATCAGTAATTAAGTATTAAAGCCATTGGATTACCATGGCAGGTAGATAACATTTACAGAAGAGGAGCTCAACACTGAGGACTTCCATATCTCTTTCCACCAACCATCTTTGAACTAAGTCCATTTTGGTAGGATAGGTATTGTGATGTCATATACACTGAGTGGCCAGGTTATTATGACGTTTGTAGGCCACCTGACGTTTGTAGGCAAATGAGCTATAATTTGGCGCTGAAGTTGCTAGAGGGCCAGACCATTATAAACAGGGAAGCAGGTTGTTTACCACGACAGTAGAAGTGATTTGTTTCTGAAGATACGGGGAAACAACGCGATTTAACAGCCTTTGAACGCGGGATGATTGTGGGCGCTGATGAGTAGTAAAATCTTTTAAAGTGTTGTCTGTGGGCAATTCTGGGTCTGGTAGTTGTTTGCGATTTCACGGGTGCACACAATTTTTAATGTTTGACATGTTTGGTGTCTATTTACCCGACATGACCCCGTCTTTTATATTTTACCAAAAAAACTGGGTAACAATAAATGATTAATAGCAGTTTTTGTTTTCAAATTGTCGGTATGTTTTTCTTTATATAGTAAAAAACCCCAGTGGTGATTAAATACCAGCAAAGGAAAAAAGCTCGATCTGTCCAAGAAAAAAATGATATAGAATTAGTTTTGGTAAGGCTTTCAAAAATGAATATAAAAGAATACTGAAAAATGTCCTGGACAGGAAGGGGGTTTAATACCCCGCTCTACAAGGGGTTATACATTTTATTGGAGAATGTTCCTGGGAGATAAAATAACTCATGGGCTCCTCTATTGTCCTCTCTGGTTGTTGGTCTTTGTGTACACGGATCTTCTTTTGTTCTACTGGTGGGCGATAATCTTTCTTACGGCCCAGCAAGCTGCAGACGTATCTCTGACACTGGGAGGAGGCAAAATAATAGATAAGAGGATCCAGACAACAGTTTATGCTGCTGATACAGGAAGAGACCATGTACGCAATATACAGAGAGAGATCATTATAGTTAATTATGTTCCTATAGTGAATTAGATAGATGACATTGGCTGGGCCAAAACAAAGGACAAAAACACACAGCACAACCACAGATAGGCGGATAGCTCGCGATCTCTTATGTGTGCCATCAAATTGTGATCTGCTGAGACTGCGGATGATTCCAATGTAACAGAAAGTTGTAATTAATAACGGTAAGAAAATAAACAGTGAGAAAGCCGAGGAGAAATAGGGAAAAATTATAAATGAGAAATAACCCCCAAAGTGCTGATAATCATGGCATATTGGGATATCTCGTGCAGAAAATGTCCAGGTTTGTTCATTTATGAGAAGAGGCACAGTGGTGGCCAATGAGATGACCCAGATGACGCCACACACCAGCCAGGCTCGCTTTACTGTGCGCCAGGGGAGAGACCGCACCGGGTAGACCACAGCCAGGAAACGGTCCACGCTGATACTGGTTATGAGCAGGGAGGAGCAGTACATGTTACAGTAATATGCGGCCATGAAGAAGCGACACATTCCTTCTCCGAACAGCCAGTGAGATCCCGAGAATCGATAGATGATATAAAAAGGCAGGACACCAATGAGGAGGACATCTGCAGTGGCGAGGTTCAGCATGAAGACCACTGCCGGCTTCCTGACCTTCATCTTCACCAGGAACATGACGATCGCCATGATATTGAGAGGAAGAGCCACAAGGAACACAACAGTGTAGATGGATGGGACCAGCCTGGTCACACTCCAATGTCTGATTGTATAACTAAACAACAGAGTTAGATGTGCTGCCCTCCTATCTGTAAAGTAAAAATACAATATTTATCATAAATGAAAGAACTAGATACATTTACATTGTGTTTAAAACAGAATTCAGTTTAAAAAGCTAAATGAATAGCCCATGAAAAGTAAAGAAATAGATTAATAATCCCCCTTCGCAACCCGGAGCTCCTCTCCCAGTAATTTGTTTTGGTGACTAGATGTCATCAGTCTTCCTCTGAGGAGCCATCACATAGTCTGGGTTTTTTTTTAGTGGGTTCCATATTAGGATTAAAGGAATATTTATGAGTGTTTCAGAGAGTGACATATATGGACACAAGACATAAAAATGTGCAGCCCGTGAGAAAGCGATGGTGCAACATCACCCAAATAACACGGACTCTGCAAACGTATGGCTCCACTACAGCTCTGAATGATGTCCTTAAGTCAGGCAAACGTGTAAACAATTTAGTATTATGAATGGGACTTATCTAGGTCTTGTATAATGCATTGATAACTGTGTACTTGTAGAACATCTCCCTTTGCTTCTAATGAAGTGGGTTTATCCATGAAACACATTATGCTAAAATCCATTTGCATACCTCCACTATAATGTACACGAGTGTTGTAAAGTAATGTTTATGAGAATCATGAGAATTTACCTTAGTGTACATAAGGTGGCACAGGTAGGATAAAGTGAGATAACTACGTATCGCTTCTCGGCCTTTTGGTTAAGATCAAGTGTAGTATCTGTTCTTATCAGTTGTCGGGAATTGAAAGGCCGCTTTCACCTGAGTGGGGTGGATGGACGGCCTAGTAGATTCCTGGCGTAATTTGTAGGGAGCTGGATGAGGTTCCAGGCCCTCGGAGCTTTCGACCCTAGTTAATGGGTGGGCTCCGGCGGAGGGATATCTGAAGGTGAACTATCTCCTGATGGGAATGGATACGAAGCTTGATCGAGGCTAGAGGGTTGGGGGCGGCAGAAGCCTGCGGTGTTTTGCCCCCTGGGGGTGGCGTCCCAGGGGTGCTCAGGAAGTCACTTGGGTGTGGGACCCCACTTTGACTCACTGATCACTCGGTCACACACCACCTTGCATTTTCTGCACATCGCCTCTTGGACAGGCCTTATGGCTAGTCGGGGCAATTTTTTTGCACTCCGGCCCCTAAGGCCTGTCAGCGTGGTGCACTGGCACTTTAGTATTATTTATGCACTCTATGCACGATTGCACGTTTGGCTTTTTTTTCAAAAGCTTTTTGACCCACAGATGCTGAAGGTGCAGGTTTTTTCGTGGCCTATTCCTGATGCTGGGAGGAGATTCGGTGCCTCCTACGGGGTTCTCTGTCTCCTCCCACCCAGGAGGGGGGTTTCTCTTCGGGAGATCCCCCCTGCCTAGTACTGTGTGGACCTGTTTCGGCAGGTCCCCGACGGAAATGGTCCACCGGCCTTCGGGTTGGTGGGCCAACAGTCTCAACCCCTGTCAGGAGCCTTGCGCCCCGGGGGGTTGGGAAAGTAGGTCCCTTCTTTTGAAGGACCTTGCACCCTTGTGCATGTTTTTGTGTGCTGTGATTTCACGGTTGCACTTTTTTTGTTCACAGGGGGAAGTTTGTTTTGATGCACGTCCACGGGCTCAAAAAACAAAAAACAAAAAACTACGTGCCTTTGGGGGCCATTTTAAGTTGGTTGTGCACAGTTGGGGAAGTGGAGGCACCAGCAAAGCCAAAACAATGGTCCCAGGGACGGGCATCAGTATTCTGATGAAGGTTGCTGGGTCTATGCTTCATAACAAATTGAAACTCTGGGAAAGACCATGGGATGCTCCTTTCTATGGATGACCTATGGCAGCACAGGTTCAGGTCCAATGTCAAAGACGTTGATTTAAAAAAAGTAATTCCTTTGAGAATTTGGGAGCCATAGGACAGAAGGTTAGCACGATGTCAACTTGAGCTCTATCAAGGCATTTTCAACATCTGTGTTTCACTTGACCATGACTGACTTCTCACTATTAGTTAGATTGGCCAATAGAGTGGCAAAGGCAATAGGCAATAGGATGGCAAAATTGGTCACAAACTGTCTGTTGAACCACACTATGCCCAGGAACAGAAACACTGACTTTTTGGTGAGGGGAGGAGGCCAAGACTGTAAAGTCTGCAGCTTGTTTATTTGGGTCTTCATTATCCCTCTTCCCATAATGTACCCAAGGGTCTTCACTTCCTCTATGCCTAGAGCACACCTTTTGGGGTTCACAGAAAACCCCCCTCCTTAGGGAGATTAACAGTGCTTGGGCTTTGGCAGTGGAAGTGTAACATCTTATCTATCGAAGGTCCATTGCCATTGTTTTGCACTGGAAGTGCCCCTCTGGGGTAGAGAAATCTGCTTTCTTCCAGCCGACCTTGTTTAAAGGTATTTGTGAATATCACTTTGTTAGGGCTAAGGTTCTGATATATCGAGCTGGGCCAAGTCTTTCAAAGAATGCACCCACCTGGGACACCCACATGTGATAGGTGTCATAATCTGACAATAAACTTCTGGAAAACATTGCAGAACCACAGAGTGCCATTTGGCTTGGGGACCAAATTTGGGCTTTAAGCAGATAATAAGGAATAAAAGGAAACATCTGAAAAGTATTTTAGATATGTAAAGTTATTTCTTACCCCAATCCTATTTATACTAACATTACAGGTCCTCTTACCCCCATCCTGTCCATAATAACATTACAGGTCCTCTTATCTCAACCCTGTCCATAATAACATTACAGGTCCTCTTACCCCAATCCTGTCCATAATAACATTACAGGTCCTCTTATCTCAAACCTGTCCATAATAACATTACAGGTCCTCTTACCCCAATCCTGTCCATAATAACATTACAGGTCCTCTTACCCCAATCCTGTCCATAATAACACTACAGGTCCTCTTACCCCAATCGTGTCCATAATAACATTACAGGTCCTCTTACCCCAATCCTGTCCATAATAACA